GATGTGTTAAGTAACAATAGTCTGGAATGTGTATAGGGATTGGACATGTTGGGGGGGGGTACCCCTCGGTCTCATTTCTTGCTGGGTATACTCGCAAATGGCTTATTGCATGGAGCTGCTCTGAGGCAAATCCAAGCAGAGGGGTCAACTAAGTCAAGCCCACCCACAGCCAACTATTTCGTTGAAAACTAATGCCACGAAATTTGGGGGGGTCTATATCATTTCCCTTCCTTCAAATTGTATGTGAAAAAACCCTAAAAACTTACAGTAAAGAATGCCATTTTTGACCCCCCCAAATTTGGTTCTGTATCTGCCCTTGGAGCTGCTGGCAGAAAACACTGCTCAGCAGATTTATGAGCTAAGCAATAGTGAGCAGGGTACCAGTCTCACGTAATGCCCCTAACATGGCTCTTAAGCTGGTGACCCTTTATTTTCCTCAGCATGTATTTTTCTTAGCTAAGCAGTTCCATAAAATCCCCCCCCACCACTGCAGGACCGACTGGAGTGTCTTTACGGATTAGCAATGTATGATGTCTTGGCTGGCGCGTCCACACCAGCATACACTGGGTTCTTGGCCAGTCCAATGGTTCGTACGCCCATGTAGGCCAGGAAGCCTGAGGTGTCCAGGTCCTGCTCCTGCATGATCTGGACGTACGTCTGCGCCTCTGTCTCATACTGGTTGTAGATAGCTTTGGCTTCCGCTTCAGCTCTAATGAGGTCACACAAACAACGTCAAAGGTCAGGAAACATGTAACCCCTTCTTCAGCTTCGTAAGTTCAGCCCTCAAGATGACATCAAATTTTCGATATGTGCTTTTTTTTTGCTTCATGGTTAAACGTCACAGAAGCAGGTGACAAATTCCTACTAAGTTCTCGGCAATGTTCACTGGTGCAGAGTTGGTTTGACTGTTTATTCATCCTATTTTCCCGAGGAATCAAGCGATGCTACATGCTTGATGGGGCTTACCTTGTGCGTGCTATCCTTGCTTCAGAATTGGCCCTGTTGAGCGTAATAATTGCTGATCTCTCGGCCTCCTTCAGAGTTGTCTCAGCTTGAGTCAGTAAGCGAGGCCGCTCACTCTCTGCTACCTGTAAAAAAAAAATTCATATGGATCCATGCCTCAGTTATCGGCTGACTAATTTCCGTGTCGAGCATTTAGTCCTGAAATTAGGCTGGTCAAAAATGGTAAGAATAGAAATGCACAGCAATTGTCAATATCATGAACACAAAAGGAATATGCCGCTGACAACATCTGTAAACTCTTACTGATTCATAGCAAAAAGTTGTACCAACCCTCCTAGTTAAGTCAAATAAGACCAACAGTGTAAGACACTGAACCACTTCCATCTACCACGTTTACATATATATAAGCAAAGATGCCGGAAACCTCTGTAGCTGTCCTACATATACAGAGTAGGTCATTCTGACCAGAGTAGGTCAGAGTCTAGCCACAGTTTACACAGGGCTGGCTGAGCCGAACCCACTAATTTCCTTCACAGTAGCATGATTTGGGTGTTCACATCAGACTGGGGTTTGAAATGCTGAAGGAGTTGGGATCAATACCTGAATGTTCTCTCGTGCAGCCTCCTTGCTCCTAACAGCTTGCTCATACTCTGCTGGACGGGCAATGTTATTTACCTGGTGCAAGAACAAAGATGTAACCAAGTTGCTCAGAAGCACAGACAACTCAAAAACCTCTTCCCCCGTTACCCACTCCCTCCTTACCTCCTTTATATTCCGCCTCCAGCCAAGAAAGGCAAACTATATATGTACATGTAGCACTGTTAAAATTAATCCATAATCATAATTATACACTACATAAATCTTTGTTGAACTACATAATTCCACGCAAGCTGTAGCAAAACACTGGCTGATTGTTTGAAATTGTGGGTTACTTAGTATTATTTGTGGTAATATTTGGATGAAAAATTAACTTTCATAGTTATTTTTGTAATCTGTGACCATCGATGAAAAAAAATCATACTCCTCTTGCAAAAAGGTTGCATCAATATCTGTCAAGGTTTTTTGGATAATTTTCACTTGGTTATGATATCCACATGTAGTTACCAATCACAGCTGTTTACAATGTGATGAAAAAAATGCATGGAAACAAAAACGGTGTATTCTGCTGCCACAACCAGCCTTTTAAAGGTACCTGCAAGTCATCAATGTTGGTACTCAGGTACTGGTAACGTGCACTCAGTGCCTCTCGGACAGAGTTCTGGAAATTTTGCCGCAAAGCTTGGAACTCTGTAGTGTTGTAGTCACTGCAGGCTTCGTGAATGGCTGACTCGCCTTGAACAGACAAAAATTATCAAAATACTAATATTGAACAGTAAGTTGCCTCCCTCCACCCAAAGATCTTTGCAGTACAATGACAGCTTTTCCGTAAATGTACATTTATCGGTGTCAAGAACAAAGAATATACATCCTTATGGCACATTTATAGTCTCAATGCACCCAGACAAAAAGTTTTGTGAATGGCTGACACACCTTAACCCTAACCCCCTAGGGTGTATGTAAAATCATATTGAAATCAGAGGATTTGTGACTGCTGAGGTGCCTTTCCATACGTACATTTTTGGGTGCGTTGCGTACAGGATGCGTTCATGCATTTCACTTTTACAGACATAAAAATCGACCCATTAACATAACACATGTGTACGTTGTGTTCGACCATCAAAACCGTCCCGGCAGCGATTTTGATGGATACGCAACTCTTGGCACAAGCGTTGACGCGCACATGGAAAAGTGCATTTAGGGCTATAAGAGGCAAACAAGAAAGCTGTCCATCTTGAGACTGTTTGATCCTAACCCACCTCAATCCTCTGAAATCCTTGGGTTGGTTTTGGAGGATTTTGGAGGATTCAGGATGAATGATGATTTAAAAGCTGGAGGATTGAGGGTGAATGGTGAATGAAGTACTAAAAATTTACACCCAGCAAGAAATGAGACCGAGGGGTACCCCCCCACATGTCCAATCCCTATACACATTCCACACTATTGTTACTTAATACATCCCCCCAAGATGTCTGAAAGGAATTCCCCAGATTCCTGCGAGACCAACACAAAGCAGGGGGGTTCTCTCCGTCTCATACCTTGCTGCATATGTAAAAATTAGTCACACAGTGGTGCATATGGTCACACATTATACTGTTTACAACATACATGTACATGTACCCAAGGACAGCGTGTTCCGTTGTTCACTGCCGCTGGTCATAAATTACACAATCCTCAACTGCAGTGTGTCAAAACTCTGCAAAAAAGCAGCTTCAGCTCAGGAACCAACCTGATGTGACCAACCCTCCCCCTCCCCAAAACACAAAACAAAATATAAAACAAAACAAAACTGGGCCATCAAGGATTTTGGAGGATTGAGGGTGTGCCCTTGTAAAAAGGCCCTTGGGAGTTAAGGTTAGCGGAAACTTTTTACGGAGGTGTCTTCATTGTTTGTGTCTACTTGCACCTTTTAATTAAGGGCATATCTTTTTGTTAGCCCAACCACTTTTTAACAAATATTGAGAAAAGACTGTTAAACATTTCGGTTCAACAAGTTCTTGGCCATTTTTGCACTTACTGCATGAATACTTTATGTGGTTTTCAATTGAATGTGTAATTTGAGTGCCATTCTATAAGTACTTTGTATACGTTTTTGAAATCATTCTTCCTCCCGCATATGCTTGTTTCGTTATTCATGTTCATTGTAATTATCTTATTTAATCTCAATGTATACAGTTTTTGGTACTGTTTTTGTTACTCTGGATAGTCCTTTGTATCGTTATTTATTTATTCGTACTTCTTGTCCAGATGTGCCTAACGATGAATAACTCAAACAGAAAACTGTAATCAAATAATTGACACATTGATCAAGTAATTGATTAACGGCATAGCACTGGAACAGCGCCCAGTATGCAAATGAAAAGAGAGTGTGCACGAAAGACTTTCCGTGGGATCTAGCCACAAGCAGTAAGCGCTCACTCTCCTGGTTTGATTTCCACCTTTGTACCTGTGCTTTTGAGGACCTTCTCAAAGTTCTCATGGTCTCGGAACTGCAGCACAATCTGACGTAGATCCCTGGACTGGATTTGGTACTGGAAGGCGATATTCAACGATATGATTACCCCATCCTTGTTCAGACAGCGTAGGTCGGGGTACTGGATGGTGCGATAGACTGAGGGGAACGTGATGAATTGGAACCCCGGCGGACCGTTGTGCAGGCCTTCTTGCTTGACATCCTCGTACAGCTCGCGAGAGATGGTGTTGTACATGACAGCCACTGATGGGAAGTTGAGACAGTTGTTTGAGTATAAAAGTGAAGAGACAACAGATCGTGTTCCCTTATAAAATACTGCAGCCAACTAGCGAGCCAGTTGCACAATTTGATGTTGGAGAGAGAGATTAAATTAGATTACACTTGGTTTATTACTGTTTGTGTATTTACACAATGGAGCCTTGGTTCTTGCACTAAGAACATTCTGAACACCTGTAGTATTATCACTTAAAAGAAGATGCATTGGGCTATTAAATTAAAAACATTTACACTAAAAATGACTAAGAGAGTTGAGAAGGGAAAGATTAAGAAGCTCTGCAAGGTACAAAACTTATCAACCAAGTCTGCAGCGTTGCCATGCCAACATCTCCTTCGAGAAGCAAGTGGTTCTGAAAAGGACTGGAGGTGGAACAACTCATGTACTTACTCTCGTCCGATTGCAGCGTCTTGAGAGAAACAACAATGAGGACAATGATTCCAATCGCTAAGAAAGCTGCCACGCCAAGTGCAATGGCCACGCCTGCCTTCATCTTGTAGCCCGAAATCCTCTGCTTTTACTCCTCGTAGACAATTCCCAGGTCAGCCGCTACATGTACCAGTCGCTTCTTCGTTTCCTGATGCCCTGAGAAAATAAAAGGAAAAAAAGAGAAGAAACTGAACTTCTACGAGTTTTCTTGGAAAATAAGAGAATAAAAAGCAAAGAAGAAAACAAACATAACACTGACCAAATTATACAGACCAGAAAGAATTCACATCATGACAATGAAACCATTTCTCAAACAAAATTGCCCAAATACATTGGGGAGAGGGCAAAGCTGCATTAACCCTAACTCTTCAAGCACTTCTCCCAGAGGCCTTCTGCACTTCACTGAAATCAACCACTTCAAGCAATGTTGTATTTCGAAAGCCACAAGCTCCAAACTGGTGCAAAAAAAGGCTACCCAAAAAAAATTTTTCGTACTTTTTAGTATCAAATATTCACGCGTAGATAAACTGACTCTCAACCTGATGCTTAGCTGGCTTCAAAACAAAAATCGAAACAAAATATCTTCATGGGCCTGAAAAGTTGCAGGATGGTTTGGTCACTACAGCTCCTTTCGTGGACCTTCACCGGCCAACTCCGCTGCACGGTAACACTAGCTGCACTGAACCGGGTGTCATGTATATGTGTGGCAACCAGGAAGTTATCACAGGCTACGTTTTCTGTTCAAAAAGTTAACTTCCTGAAAAATGAAGTGAATGCCAATAACCAAGCTACATGTGGTAAGAATGAGGAAATGTGGAGGAAATTAATAAAGTCAGCTCACAATGATAGCCAATACGTGTGCTGTAAAATGTTTACATGTGTCTTTTCCAAGTTAATCTATAAAGCAAAAACGTAGAACAGGTAAGTCATCTTGGCTGTGGAAAAGGAAGATTACAGGCCATACTCTGTGACTACAGACATATGTCTGGTACACATATAAATGTTCAACTACAAATTTCTCTATTAATCCCAAGAGTCCTGAAAACTCCAATTGTTGGCGGATTTTGGACTGCTTGGGCTAATGGAATGTGGAAACAACCATGCCTGACATTTTAACCTTTTGGCTGAAGGCCTTGCTAAATCTTCTGGAATCAGCTGAGTATGTATGCTGGAAACAGAATAGAAATGAAAAACAAAGAAGGTACTAAACATGCTAATTCATTTTGAATTTTGCATCAGTTTGTAAACTTTGCACACATGTATGGAAAAGTTGGAGAGCTGTTTTACATAACTAGAGTGACGACCTGTCACATCCCCATGTGGAGAAAATTTAACGCTATCCTTAGTGGAGACATTTTGAATTCATAAGCATGTTTGCAGACCATAAGAAATAAGATGAAATGAAATCTGAACCATGTACTCTAAGACCAATGCACAAACCTATCAGTGGTGTGACATACTAAAAAGCCTCAGCAAAATTCATCTGCAATCCATACATGTATGCACAAGTGGTGCATTTTGTTTTTAAGGAGCAAAATGAAATGTTCTTTTAGTCATTTGGCCTATCAGCTCTGCTGATACATCAGTTTAGAACAGAGATGTAGATAAAGCCTAAGAAAGCTATACAAACTTTCCAATTTTCCAGAAGTCTTTACAAAAATGTGGATGCCCCAAGCTGATCTGCACTGTGCACAGCGAGTTAGGGTTTAGTAGTACATGTATAAAATACAAGTAGTACTGTTAGAGGACTGCATTTATCATGCAAAATGTTATCTACATGTACGTTGCTTGGGCATGTTCAGAGGACAGCATGGACACAAAGCATTATCCTTTACAATTATGCTCTACATTCTTAACGATTCTGAATTCACAATGTCCCATTAACAATGAAGGGAAGGATTAGATTTTGATGTGGATTTGTGATAACAGTGGTTAGGTCTCAATACAAGCCAGCATACACTTGACTTTTGATATACATGTACTTGGGGCATACAGTTTGCTGTGAGGATATTTATTAGTACTTTGTTGGCTATAGAGGATGAGTATGAAAATCTGCACATTTTACTGTCAACTTCAAGATCCAAGGACCACTTATGACACTTTGCATCCAACAGGGCTGATGCCATCCCTTCCCAGGGAACTGTACAAGGAAGTGTAAGCTGTCCCCACAATCCTGTGGTTTGTGCCTGATTCAAACTTCCCATATTATGGGAAAACTCAGGCCACACAGGAAGGAACTTGACCTCATGAGGAACTTCAGTTCCAGGGCGCACGCTGAAGTGCAAGATGGATGTGCTCAGCAACATGTACTTGAATTAACTCTGGCCACCTCTTGAACAAGGTTAGAGGAGACATCCACTGATGTTTTCATGACTAAAAACAAAGTCCCGTCCACCTACTGTACATTTAACTAACAAGTCATTCACGTATCTCTACATGGACATGTTTCATCAATATAAAATACCTTAAGGGATGATTTTCAAATTCATACACACATGCAGTTAAATGTTCATACTGGAAGCTGTAAATTTACAAAAATTTTCTCTGAAACACCTAATATATGTAAGCTGATGTCCACAAACCGGGCCAATGCACATTCTGTGTTAACTGCATGCTTAAAAAATAATGTAAACAAACAAAACAATTCAATTAAAATGAGACATATACAATGTATGACATGTCATGTTAAAAATGCAGGGCTGTTTTAGCCAGTTGGTTTTCCAATGTTCACGCGAGTAGGGGATTTGACATCACTTGGTATTTTCACGGGTGTCGTTATCTAAACTAATCACTTGAACAGACATTTTTAAGATAACAAGTTACACATGATGAAATCATCATGATATTTATAAGTTTTAACCTTAATATGTCCTTGCCTACCTGTATACCAGCATTCAATCTGATAGGATGAATGGCTTCTATATAAGCCCTTGAGAGTGTACCTCCATAGTGTCGAGTCCATTTTTAATACATTAACATGCCTCTGCTTACTAATTTGGTGACAATCAAACTGAAGGGATGTGTAGTGCCTTAGAAACTGACTTGTTTTGGTTTCTTAAGCCAATGTGCAAGGAAATCTGTCAATCTCACTGTACAATTTGCTGAAAATTCTGCTTTCAGCCAGTTGCATTTTCTTTTAACTTTTGGGTTGGGAGAGGTTGCTTAAAAAAAGGGAAGAAAAGCCAGAGATTTCATACAGGGTTGACTGAGAGAGCTCATTGAAAAAGAATCTATAATCCCCTTAAGTGGGCCCAAGAGCCCAATCCACAAAAGCAATCCTTGCTTTGCGTTATGCATCACTTTTTTTGAACAAAGACCATTCAATAAACCGTTAGAAAGCAAATTTCAATAAAATAAAAGCAAACTCTAAAGTATTCTGTGATCAGTTGTTCTTTTCTTCAATTCTTGTAGGCAACAACATCATGAGCATGACACAACACATGGCTGCGCCGCCATGAATCACGGCAAGATGGCGTGCACAGCGCGCTTGCACCACATGGGACTGAATACCCCGTAGTCTGAAAAAAAAAACACCCCTTCAAAGGTTCAGAATTTGCTCAAATTACACCCACTTACAGCTCAAGAGTTATGTTTCACAACGATTCACCTTAAAATGACAACGCTTTGTTACAAACCAGGATTAGTTGGGCGGAATTTCGAGCTTAAACATTAGCGGCACCGTAATGGAAAATTTTGAAAACAAATGTGTACTTTGTATTTTTCTCATTACATATTCATTAATTTGTCTGCCACACTCCTTCCAACAGCCAATCAGTAGTGCGAAATCCGGACACAACTTCTGTAGGCAGAGAACCGGGCTAACACTTGTGTGGGCACCTTTTGGAGGTCGCGCACGTGGCGTATTTGCACATGCCTACTGCATGTAGAAGGGAAAGCTACATTTTAGCTTTTGAATTCACCTTGGTAGATGACTATGACATGCTCAATAACGGTAGTGTTGATGCTGTCCAAAAAGGGCAGGGTATTGAGTTTTGAGGGAAATTATGAGGGGAAACTATGAGCATGTTTCAACACATGACACATTGTGGAGTCAAATTTGTATGGCTTGTTTATCAGCAGGAAAGTCACATTTTTGCACAATTTACAATTTGAAATTTCCAAAAAATAAGGTTGGCACAATAAAGAGAGTGTTACTGTTTGTTTTTCTGGGGACTTACCAGTTTTGTAAGATTAAAATGACAAAAAAGGGGGGTCCCCAAGTACATGTATACAATCCCCCTACACATGCTACATGTAGCAGCTCGTGGTAGCCAGTAGCACTACTAGTACTAGCAGTGGCCTATGGGTGCAGTCTACTAATTGAAGCAAGAATTCCTGGCCAGCTCATTAGCATTAAAAGTGCCCCCACAATTTCTTTTGAAAAGGAGATTGTATGGCCCCCCAAAGGGTGAGATTGTGTAAATTCTTGGCAGGATCAAGTTCATGGGGGTTTGGGCTTCTATCTTTGAGCAGAATGGCTGAAAATCACGGTTGGAAATTGTCCCAGGTGCCCGAGAAACTTGAAGGTTGGCACTTGAAAAATGGCTAAATGCAGACTTTGCAACTTCTCCTTTTGGGGGTTGTTTTTTGCGTGTGTGAATAATTTAAAAATTCATCGATTAACCACCCAAAATTGAAAAGAAATTGAAAGTTTAAGTACCAAGGAATAACATCATTTTGTTTGACAAACCTCACGGACGTTGGCTTGCATGTTATTGAACCCTTAAGAATGTTGATTTTTACACTGTTTTCAATGGGGCTTGTAGCCCTATGCAACGTCTTAGGCCTAGCACTGCCACTGTGTGACAGGAATGTTGGGCGGGTTGGTCCAGTTCGGGGACTTACATAACTTAGGCCTAACGTTCAATTTTTGCAATTAAAATACCAACTATAATCACATGTATACAGTCTCCAATATAACACAGTATTTGAATAGGAATATGGAAAAGGAGATTACCTTGAAACTATGTGTAAAAACCAAACCAACAAAGATCTGTCCGTGTCACTTCACGTTGCCGAATTCACTCCCGTACCATGCCAGGACATGATGCCTACAGTACTTGAACAATGAGGGCGCTTGAGCGGCTATTTGATGTGCGCATTGTGTGTAAAGCTGGCTACATCCAAATCTGTTGTCTGCAGGCCAAGTAGGTCGAGATCTTTACGTGTACCAAATAGGCAAGGGGGGGGGTTACGCGCAAGCAAGACGTAGGCGTGAGAGCAAAGGATGAATATCTGGGTATGGGAAGACAGGCGTCATTGTCGTCATTGACCATCATACACCTCTGACCCTCATCTAACAGTTTACCCTGCACCAATTTGATCTGTATATCTTCTTATTTCCAATTTTCACATGCATTCAATTCAATCAGAAAACAAAGTTTGGTCCTTCCCAAGCCCAAAATTACTAAGTGAAGACAACTTGAACATCCAAGACAACTTAAACCAAAATAAAAGCCTTATTTATCCATGTATATATTTTATTTGCTTCGAATAAAGAATGACAAAATAAAATATTAAAGTTAACATCATAATGTAAACATAGAAAAATGTTCAGAGGCCCCTATTAGACAATTTTACTAAGGCTTAAGTCATCTTTTGCTGCTGTTTTTGCAGGATGATCTTTGTAGGTGGGGAAACTTTGGTAAAACTGCACTCTTGAGACCATCTGTCAGACCTGCTGCAAGAAAGACATCTTCCAGCTCCTCTGTGGCGGAACACTCACGGACCTGAAAGTCAATCAACCTGCCATGGAATAAGGAAACTATCAATTGCATTTTGATCAGCAGAAAACATCAGCAAAGACAAAGATCTTTTATCATGAATGGCTTGTGACGCATTGTGATTGCCGAGCAGGTTTAGTAAGTGCAAGAAAATGAAACCAGGTTGGCTTGGCCAGAACTTTTATTGTAGATGTGGGGTGGAGCTTTTGCAGCATAAGTGATTGAATAGAGAGGTGCACAGCCAAAGCTTTTGTGATGTGTCTGAACATGCAGGTGTAGCAAAGCTTTGGTGATGAGTGTATGACAACAGAGGTGTGGCCAAACTTGTGTAATGCAAGTACATTGTACCTTAATGTAGAGTGTCTGATTATGGAGCATGGCCAAACTGTTCTATTGCTAATGTCTGAATAAAGAAACGTGACCAAAGCTTTCATGATGTGAGTGTCTGAATAAACATGTAGAGCCAGGTCAAACCTGCTATCTGAGGGTCTCGGATGCAAACCCTGCATCAACACCGTCAACATCCGCTCCTTACAGCTTCTTCCACTTGAATCAATATCAACCTTCTGCGTCCGAAGTCTCATGAGAAAATCCTGGCAAAAGATTTCAAATTGGTAATTGCATCCTTCCTGACCACTTCATGAGAAAAGGCAAATTGAAACTGGTAACACCACCATGGTACAAGAAATAAATAAAGGCTCAACTGACTGGTTGATTGATAGATGTATAGTTAATCTTTGATTGAAATCAAAAGCCTTACAACAAAGTTGTGCCCAAGGATGGGCAATGTAACATTTAGTATTCTGGCCCTGCAGATGTTTTGAGTAGCAGTGGTTTTCGACAGAAATTTCAACAATTGACATGTTGTAATTTTGTTAAGGAATCTGCTTTCGAGTTTATAGAAAATGTGAAGAACTTTCACGATGAAAGTCAGAGGGATGAGGTTTGATGTGAATTATTTTAAGGAGATTTCCCTCATAAAATTGTCAAGATAAAACTTGACAATTTTGCACAGCAAAGGAGAAATTATCACAGAATATTTTCATACCCTGTGTAAGTTACCTTAACACAGTCCTCTGTTCCAATCAACAAAACCAGGATAAGATGATGTAGGAACAGGAGTCGTCCAACCAGTGAGAGCTCGGCAGCCCAGCTGACAAGGGTCTTGATGTAACGGACTCGAGAGCGCATGTAATCAATATGAAGAATGGTGACATACGGTGTGCTGTCATCTACATTACGACAAAGACATGCAGTCAAAACACCGAGCTACTGCAAGTTTGTTATTACATGCACGGTGCTCCATCCAGGAATTCAAGGCAAAGTGGTAGGAGAGTACAGACTGTTCCCTTTATAACACTGAGCACTACCAAGCACTTCTGCAGAGATTGGCAAACGTATATTTACATCTTCAAGATCCAAACATCTTTTTGTTGTATAGAGCAGAAAATTTATTCTGTATTAAAATAAATATGGTATTCCAAAGTTTTGTTGAGTAGACTTGCTATACACCCAGGAGGCATGTCCACATTAAAAAAAATCAAGCCTGTGGAAGAGGAAAGGTGTTTTCCTGTTTTAAATTTTTTTAAATCAATTTCAATGAATACAAGAGTTTTGAAAGCAAACACTACCACACAATACTGAAGAAAATTAGGTTTGGAGCATACCACCACCTTTTCTGTTACTTGTATCCCGATTTTTAACCAATGCAGCTGTGAGCCTCGTTCCATTTTTCTGCAGCCAGTATACAAGCTCCATGATCATTGGCTGACCCAGCAATGATTTTGAATATTCACGAAGTTCATCTTGCAGCTGATTTGCTGACTGTTTAGTCACGCGGCCACATGCTAATGAGATGGAAGGAGGTTCATGAGGATAGCCAGATGGAAGGAAACACTGCAAGGAAATCTTCAAAGTGTCTGATGTTTGGTCCACAGTTGTTGTCTCTGATGGTTGGCAAGTTACACAAATGGAAAAACTCTGTTCACCATCTGTAAAAAGGGAAAATCTTGCTTTCAATAAGTGGCTCTCATCGAGGCAATCTTGACTCTTATGCAAGTTTACTACACTCTCTCCTCAGTTGATTATCCTATGAATGGATTTCATGCAACAACAAATCAACTCAGGGTGGAGAGTGCGAAGATTCAAAATTGTGCTGAACAACTGTATATACTCTGTAGGCCCTAGGCATTGCCTTTTGGTAAAATATTAATCATATCAAAAATAAGAGATAAAAAATCTCCCGAGCTATTTGTTCCCAAAATAAAGACAAGACACAGGCCATGAACAGAGAATGACCTTGCTGGAAAAAAGAGTGAAATCATGGACAGTTAACTCTGTGTTTAAAATTAAGTCAAGTAATGGCCAAATGTTTCTTACGTCTAATAATTTACAGCAACGTGTACACATGTGATGTTGTTGTTAACAGGCATAGTCCTACGTATTATCCCCTCACGGCCTACTTGGAGACCTCTAACTTAGGACAGAGCAAGGACAGAGAGTCACTACTCTGTGCCTTTCAAGTTACCAGCTCAGCCCATGGGGGATGGGCTAAAAATTAACAGATGATTTTTGCTGGGCTAGCCCTAGAGCCTACCTGAATTTAGCAATAATTCAAACTCCCCATCTCCACAGAAAATTCCCTGCAGAGCCTTCACTTCGTCGTCAGCCATGCTGTTCACTGAGTCGAGCCCAAAGCTAAAAGCAAATATTTAAGCCACATGTACATGTCGCTGCAAGTTGCCCATCATCGCACCACTTCGCCCATTTGCTACTCCACGGCCTAACTTCGTTGTTTCATGGAGTGTCCACAAAAAGCATTGAGATCGATGCAAATAACACTGAAAAAATAAATCAACATAGAGATGGCCAAGCAAAATAGAGCTCAATTGCAGAATACCCCACTACAATCAACCTCATAGCCAGGTACAGGTCAAAGTGTCGCACTCTTCTCAAGGGATTTCCACCTTGTACCCACGTAACCAGTCATTCCAGGGTCGTTTTTAGAGTGGCAGGGTATTCTGCAATGCAATTAGTCCCAAAATAGCCTTTGACCAGGACCCCTCACGGACCGCAAAATCTTTTTTGTAATTTTTTTTTCCAAAAGAAAGTCCTCGGCCTCCTCACCTTTTTATAGCTCCATACTGTTGGAAAGGCAACTCTTGTCTTTTCCTTTTATGGTAAAACATAAACTTTAAAGCATCCATAAAATACTAGTGTTTACAAAACAAGTGGAATTCACTCACGTTGAACTTGTCAAATTTCTTTTTATTCTGCCTGTTTTTCTTCCCGCTCACGTGAGAAATTAATTTCTGTATGTCCGACGCGACGAAGATCACTAAAGCACAGAGTTCCTATTATGACGGCATAGTGGCACATGCAGGCCGCGAAGTGTGACACGTACGTTTGTACCATACCGTACCGTACCGCACATCATGCAGGTGGTACGCCAAATAGCCACCGTCTATTGTCAGAGCAGCAGCGCTGGCCGCCGTCTCGGGATAGCGCCCTCTATATGTAGCCTTGACTTACATGAGTTAATGCCTACGGCTAAAGCTCTATTGTGGCATCAAAACACAAGCCGTAGCCACGTCAAAACCAAAGATCTCCCTCAGAAAAAGGACGTAGAGGGCAGTATGTAAACCGAATCAACGGTTAAGAAGTTCCAAACAACATACACAAAACGTTAAAACATAAAGTCAACGCGCGGCGGGTTGCTCGAAATATAATACGTGTATAGGATACAGGCGGCACGCGAGGCCTGTCTAGCGTCAACTTTGGGATGGACGTGACGGTTTCAAGATCAAAACACGGTAAAGTGCAGTCTCGGTTGCTAGACGTGGCATAGCGTTATGGGAGTATTGGTAATGTAAAAAAAATTGACCAAGGCCTGAATTGTACTGACACACACATACACATATGCGTACCTCTCTTTCACATTTTTGCTTTCAACTTGGTTATTCAGGCCTAACTTTTGGCCTAAAATGCTAAATATGTTTATCGCCGGTGTCAGTTTGTGTTTATAATTCAGAAATTCATTATAATTCAGAAGTTCACTTCGAATTTGCCACCTCTCCCCGTTTTAAATGCTGAACCACCCCTCCCTGCCCCGTTGTACATATTGTAAAACTGGTAAAGTACTGGATCTGCCATTAATATCAGCTAGGCTAACATTAAACTAATCATTGTCTGGCTCCATGCTTACGCAAGACTTGAAGTTACATTGTCATTGTGAACTTGCATTCAGTAGATGGAATTCAGACTAGCTGACTAGTGCAGTGGGTCAGTGCAGACATCGAGGAATCTCACAGAATGGCAGGTAGGCCTACCGCGCCGATGAAAATAGCAACCATAGTGATGTACATGCAAGCCAGCCAGTCTGAGGATCAGGTTACACAATTTTTTTCTTTGATCAGTATGTATGCGCACATTTGTTGCAGTTGCTTTCATCAGCACGTTGTGGTTGCTACCCGCCATTCTGTGAAACTCCCAGATGTCCACGCTGTCTCATTTCCCTTTTATCATGTTCAAAGAAAAAAATCCTCTTGAGCCAACTAAAACTAGAACTTAAACTAACATCATAGGGCATGTCGTTTTCCCTGGTGTCTTTTGGAGAGGTAGAACGATAAGCCCCACCAAACTTCTAGTTGTGCATGTAGGATTTGATTTAAAACAAGAAAAAGGATAAAATTGGAACATTTTGGGGGTAAAAAAGGAAGTGAAAAACGGAATCTAACTGTCTTCCTGGGTGCAAGAAGCCTCACAGCAGGCTTCATTGTTTGAGCGTAATCAAAATCTATGTATACATTGCAAGATCTTCAACAGTGTTTAGAGAACAGCAAATTATGTGATGCAGTGCAATCACGCAGATTTACCGACAGTACCTAAAGGTTTTACTGTTTGATTACAAGTCCATTATAAAGTTAATCCTTCAAGATATTTCTCACACTTCCAGGTATGCAGTCATGAAGGATGCCAAGAAACAAAGGACAGTGGGTAAAAGTAAGGTAAAATCTTGTCAGTTCTCTGAACTAGTTCTGTTTGTACAAATACACAGTTTTGCAAAATATGAATTGGAAATTTGTATAGCATCTGTGTGAGCTGAAGCTGGTTGCAGGTTTGAATCCCGCTCCAGTCAATTTCTTTGTTCATCTTTATGATCTGGTTTTTTTTTGCACCATAAAACAGGACTTTTGGTATATTTGGTCTGAATCAAGAAAAATGTGTATGTTTGTCAAGGTCATGATCATTTGAAACGAGGATTTATATTCTTTTTTTCTCTTTGTTTGTTTGTCAATAGCCAAGTCAAGCCTCTTTGGTGTCTAGAGGATTAGCAGCGAGGCCATCATTAATGAAGTAAGATCTCACTTTTCCATTCAGATAGGATGTGTCTTATGTTTTGTGTTCTCTGTACAGGTTAAGTATTCCACCATGCCTGCTCGAGTCTGTCTGTTGAGTGTTGACATCATGTGTGAACCTGACAAGACGCTTGACACTCAGCAGCGACATGCTGTTGGACCGGCGCACTTTGTGTGCAAGGGGATCTGGTAGGGGGCAATGTTGGCCATGACCACACCTATGACACCTACCATGTGTTTTTTGAAAAATTGTGAAAAAAGACAAATTTGTATGTCTGTTTCCCTCTCTTCATTAAGTTGTGGAAAGCCTTTAAAATTAGCCTCACCCCACAGAAAAGCCATTAAAGGTAACCATTACTGGAAGAAATCCCAAATATTCCCCCCCCCAACATAATTTCATTTGTCCCCCCCCAAAAAAAAGTTCTGGATCCTCCTTGTTTATGTGCTCACTTGCTTGCCAGCATTCAAACTGTTTTAAATAGGGCGCTCTTCACTGAGGTTAACCCAACCGGGATGTCAAATACTTATAAGAATAACACTATTTAAATAGTGCATAAGATATGTTCTTAAGTAAAATTCCTGCCATGGACCCTTTAATTCTCCTTCATCGTAGACGTAATGATGGGAAGAGCAGTGATCCTCCATCAGTCCGCTCAGGTTACTCACTGTACTCATCAGACTCAGACAGTACCACTACGGAAGTCAACCAAGGACTGGATCGATGTGCAAAACTCCTCGCCAACATCTTAGATAACAGCAACCAAGGTCATTCTATCAAAAGTATGCTGGCTGCCGGCTTACCCCTTTTTGTACCCTTTTTTGTAACAGTTAGACCTGTAGGCCTCCACATGCATTAACACTCATTCCCATTTGGTCATCCACCTGTCCATACCCAAGATTTCAAGGGTTAAAAATTAGTTTGGTTGAAGGTGAGAGGCAACCTGCTTTGAAGAAACTGCTTTGAACGTCTCTCAGTGTTGAGGTTCAATTGAGCTGAGGTTTAGAAAGCTTTATAAGAAAGCATGCAAAGAATGTGGAAGATTTCTGGATGGAGATTAACCTGTTAACCTAAAGTTGTTTAGTGTATGAAAAAAAGGAATTGTGTTTTTTGAAATAATTAATATAAAATGTGAATAATTATATAACTTGACAGCTGGCCATGCAAAATACAGACTTCAAAAGCAGAAATTGAAGACGGGTGTCAAGGCCCGCGGAGGTAACTCCACCAATTTGGAGCCCAGGCCCCTCAAAAGCGGGCCGAGGCATCCGGCCCCAGAACGGAAATCCACCAGGACCTCGCAGGGGAAGTCTGTTCTCTCTAAGAGTGCCAAGGGAAAAGGTGCCATTACCTCACCAACCCCAGCAGTGTCTGGAGCTAGACACGGAAGACGTAAGGCGTCGGGGTCAAAACGTTCAATGCTGTCTGCTGTACACGTCATCCCAACGGGTCAGGATGATTTACAAGGTAAATGTCTTCCCTGGCTTCCTCTGTGCCCACAGTCAGCATGGTGGAAAATGCTATTCCAAAATTACCTTCATTTCCAAGTCAAGACCAGTCATCACGATGTGTATGCAGGACTGCATAGCTCAGTCAGCCACAGTTAATTTCAATGGGACTTTTGGTACCAAGCACAAAGAATGTGCCTCTGGCTTGCTATGCACTGCAGGATTTTGAAAGATTCAAAATGTTTCCCACCAAAAAAATGTCCGGTGAGTTTGGCTTACTGGATATTGTGAGACTGCTTTTGCATTCTGAAGGAGTATGTACAGATTATTTGAAGGCCATGTTCTACAGTTCTATGATAGACCTCTTGACATACACTTAATGATGTCAGGCTTTGTTTACGTGTGCACGTTCCTATGGTAGTGAGGTGAGATGAGATCCATGGAGCTCCCAGAGGAAAACACACTTGTAAACAATGCATGACATCATCATGTTTTAGATCTGTTAGGCCTAGCGTCAGTTCTTGCAGCATGTGCATTGTCACTGTTCTACCAACATTGAACTGTAACAGTGCTATTTGGCTAGCATAACCTTAACTTTGTTTTCCTTTTGGAAATCATCCTGAATCTCTTCTAAAGTCAGCCACCCGTCAAGAAACACCATGATGCGTTTTTTTACTCCTAAACTTTCAAAGGGAACCAAGCCTGGCATGAAGTAAATATAGTTGCTTTCCACAAAAAACTCACAAAATCCTGCCATTCCCATGATGGACTTTAATGGATCGGGGAAGGTCTAGGGCTACTCTTAGGTTAATGTTGTTCAAAAGATGACAGTCCTGTTCCAAGAGGCACCAGAAGGGTTTGCATCGGAAAGTTTCAGAAATTCTGAGAACAGTATATTGCTTTTGAGTAGGTAGTCATGAACAGATAATAAAATGTACTAGTTATCCTTGAAAGACAAGTGTAACTGGACGCATCTTCTAATTCAGTCAAAAAAGTTGTGAGGACTGGTTTTTGTCTTTAAATTTAGACACACCCATTAGAGAAGCAAACAGGGCAGATTCCCAACCCATAAAAAGGAGGACGAAACACGTAACAGCCCCAGGATTCCAAGACCACCTGATGTCATCCACACCTGCCGAGAGGGAATCTCCTAAGAAAGCTCAACCAGCGGCAGCGAATAAAACCACCAGACTTCCAAGTCCTAGGCAGGAACCCCAGCCATCCACCCTCTCCAAGGAGAGGCACGGTCCCGAAAATTGTGTGATCATTCCAAGCAGGGAGGATGCCACAGCTTTAAGAGACAAAGCTCCACCAGGTTCGGGCAACTCTCAGAGAGCATTAAATGCACCTGTTACCAAACCCAAAGCACTTCTTGAGAGGGAAATAATAAAGGCAACTAAGAAGCTGGAACCAGACAGGGATTGGATGCAGTGGTATAAAGAGTCACTAGCTCAGCAGACTATGCATGAAGGCCTGGGAAAGGGGCATAGTAATTCTTTATTGCGTGACCGAAATGGTGGAGCAGACCAGGAGATACCCTCTAAGCCAGAGAGGGATGCTGGCCAGGGCATCTTGGACAGTAGAGTAACTGCACATCTTAGTAAGCAGCCAGCTTATCAGCCTCTTAAAGACAGCGAGGATCTTCTCAGGGACTTGGTGCAACAGCTGACCATCCTCAACCAGCAGGAGAAAGGGTCCCCACCCCAGGGCAACACCGAGCAGATACTGCAGGATTTGATTCAAAGCAAGCAGCTTGCCTCATCAGAGAGGCCAGCCAACGGGAAGGATACCTGTGGCAAAACTGAAGAAGTGATCAATCCTGCCTTGATCACAGACTCTGGTCCCCCTCTGTGTACTGATGGACGCAGTGCAGCCCTGCCAGATTTCCATGTTGACAGCAGACAATCGTCCCTGAAGCAGCTTCTGTCTGAATTCCGTCAAACTCCCTCACAGCAGACTCCCAGTGCCATCAGGCGAGGTGATCTGATGTCCACATTTCCATCACATGCTCCGTCCTTTGACGTCAGAAAGGGTGTAGGTAACAAGTATCCCTCTGGAACAACAAATCTAGAGCCCACAAAAGACACTCAGACGCCACAGCCTCACGTGCCAGGTGCTTTATCTTCACAAGTGACTTTCCTCACCCCGGAGAAAGATCACTTCGGCAGTGAAGTTGATGATGGGGCACTAAATCAACTCTCCACACCTTACGTTCATCAAGGTGGCCATGAGAGTGAGGCCTTGCAACTAGGAAAATACATTCAAGTTGGTAAGTATGTTGATTCAAGGTGTGTTTATTTTGCACATATTATCAACTATTGAGTCAAATTGTGAAATTTGTTAAAAAAGTAATATATTGATATCTTCTTACGTGGTGCACCTCCTGATACTATGCACTTTATTTTCTTCGAGCCCTTTGCCTTAGCTCAGGAATACATCGGTTCAATTTGCATGCACAACGAGACTACAAGTAAACATGTAAACCTGACTGGTAGTCATGGTAGTGATGTTAATATTCGTAAGAGAGAAGATTCTCGTTGCAACCAATAAGATGGTGAATATAAACTATGGGAAAGGTCCAAACTTGTGGGGTCAGTACAAATGATTATCATCAATTCAGTGATTGGCTCAAGAGCGATTGGCCCATATTAAATACTCCCACCGCTGAACTGGTAATGATGTCTGTGACTGCAGGCTGTGATTGGTATGTGTTAGCCTTTTGTCAAGTATTGCAGGCCAGGAGCTTGGACTAAAAATGTTGATGTAATCACCTTGACCGAAGGCTATCCGCTGTTTTTACATAATGACAGTCCTTTTGCGGGAACTCACTGTGTGCGCTAACCTTACATAGGTAGTGTGGACTTGTGAACAAAAGAAGTCAACATGATGTAAGAAATAAAGACGTTCTGTGGACTTACACACGTCCACAGGACGTTTCCCCTTCTCTGAAAAAGAAGTTTAGAGGCATTTGGGGGTAGGGGTCATCGTCGTAAAAGGAAGAGGAATAGTCAAGGAAACTTTGTACAAAAATCCAGCTGAAAATCGTGTTCCCAGTTCAAGAAAAATGAGTTTTTCACTGAGTTTTCTTAACTGCAGGAAAAGAATGTCTGCAGTTGGTATGTAAGGTAAATGTGGGTGTGTGTTCATGCACACGAGTAGTGCATAACACACTGAGCATGCACGACCAATTTATGTTGGAATGGACTGTCTGGACATATGCCGGGAAGGCGGGGAGCATACGTGACCCAGTTGTAAAACTTCCCACAGCCTGTCTCTTTTTTGCCAGGAGGGTGCACTGTCCAGTGAATTGCACCCATTGAGTTAAAAACACTTCTACAGTCCATCCCTCACCTCTCTTTTCATGCCGTTTGCACCCCTCAGGCACACCTGCAGCTATGGCTCCCACCAGCCCACCACGGAGCACAGAGCCATTGACCGTTGAACCCAGAGGCCAGGCTGCCAAGCAGGGCTCCTTGCAGCAGATCAGGATGCTGAAGTACCTGCTAGGGGAGTTACAAGCCGTTCTGGCAGATCACGGTGGGTTTGATGATTGGAAATATAAATTTGATGCTGCGGGGGCATCTAATGACAGATGGGTACTGAAACCCAGGCTACCTCATGTTGCTGTTGATCCAAGCATGAAGAGTTTAAGGGAAGGAAGTACAAGTATGGAAGGATTTTTCACTTTCTTCAAAGTATATAGACCTGTCTTTCGCGAAATCAGAGTCATAATTTTAGCAAAATATGAATGACCTCCATTGCAAAAATGAGCAATTCTCATTCTCATCAAAAAAGTAAAGAGAGATACTCTTCCTTACACACTTAGGATGTAAAATGTGCATTTTCTGACAACACCTGTTGTAGATCATACTTGAATTTGCACAAGATAATGACTTGGTTAACCCCCCCTCTCCAGTATTCTACACAAGTGAATATACTTTTTGAAGAAATTTCTCAGTCCAAATCATTGTAGGGCTATCATGGTACGTTTAGGCTTATCTAGCCTTATTTTTAGGCTCTAGACAAGAACTTGACTGACTTCCCCTGGCCACTGTATGTTTCTAGGTTACTTTGTGGGTGATTAGTGTCATTAATTTGTTGACTAACAGAGGACATCGAGGTGTCAAGGCTCCTGAATGAGATGGAGGATGTTTGCAACACCCTCCCCTACACTACCCAGAAGCAGCTATTGGACCTGAACACAGAGGTCCTACTGGCCCTCCAGCCCTTGCAGTCAGAGAACGGTCAGCTGCGCAGGCGTCTGCGCATCGCCAACCAGCAGCTGAAGAGCAGGGAGGTGGCGGAGAGAGAGAAGAAAGACGAGTCCTCAGTCAGCTTAGAATGTGAGATAGGCTTGCTTATCTTGGAGTAGGCTACATGTACATCCCGGCAAAACCAATCCTCAATATTCTTTGAAGTTTGGGCATACATATTAATGTGAAGCAAATCCTCTGACCGCATGAATCCCCTCTGAAATCCTTAACTTCTTTCAAGAAGTAAAGAATACAAATTCTCCTGATGTTTTGCCACAAATGATTGTCAAGGTCTTTTCTTTCCCTTTTTTTTCCCCCTCAAATATCAAGCATTAGCTCTCCAGGCTCTGAATTCCAATCTTCAGAAGCAGCTGCGTCAGGAGAGACAGGAGAAGGAGCAGTTACTTAAGAATAACCTGCAAATGAGTAAAACCCTGGAAGAGAAAGAAAAACAGCATCAGGACATGCTCAGGATATTAAATGATAAGGTACTTTAGACAAGTGATTGTCTCCTGAGTGTCTATATTAAAACACTGGCATTTGAAGCTTGTTAATATTACAAGTGGCCTAAATAACAAACACTGGATTTCGGGCAGAGGTGTGGTTTAAGTTTTTATTGGACTGTATCCAGTAATCCAGTAATATAAACTCCAAGTGTTTTGGTGGCTGACAACAGTTGAACTTGTGTTCGCATGCATGTAGGGTCATATAAACTCTCTACAGATTAACAGCTTCACCAGCAAGGGTGGTGGGGACTACATGTATTTATGAAACGAAAGCTTGTTTCATTGGTCAGTAATGAACCAATAGCAATGTTAATCATCCTCCCCCTTTTTCTCCAGGACACCAACTTGCTGAAGACCCGCCAGGAGACCCTGGAGGAGTTGCAGGACTTGCGTGAAGCTCGCAGCGAGCTCCAGTCCAAGGTGGACTACCTGGAACTGCAGGTGGAGGGCGGAAGCAAAGAAGCCCGCATACTGCAGCTGAGCTTGGACCAGCGAGACAAGGAGATTGACAGATTGAAGAGTTTCAATCAGTGAGTTTTAATTTATGCATTCTGAGGATCGCTTGCACCTATCATCAAGAAGCCTTGTTGTGTGAGGCGGATTTTGGATAAGGCTCTAGGATTTCTCATGAGAGCAAGTGTCCTGCCCCAAAGGCTATGCTGATACTTTTTAATATCTGAAATGGGGTGGAGCTACTTATCAACAACAACAATAAATGTATTGATTTACGGTAGCCATGTCACCTCCAAGATGATTTTCAACTGGCAATTATCAAAATGCAATAACTTTACATGAATTACAGGGTGCAAGGAAGATGAAGAAAATCGGCTATTTGCAGTCAGTGAAACAATACTGCAATCTGATACCCATAAAGTCAGTCAGAGTGCTTTTCTCTCCCTGACATGGGATCATTCGGGACTTTGCGTATGGGTATCATAGCAGGTATTAGTCCATGATGGCTGGGAAAGATAGCATCAGACTGCAATAACTTAAGCACAAGAGGGCGCCCTTCCTGAGAGCAATATATTTAACTCCTCTTTACCTTCCTAATTTCTAGAATATGGATGGTACAATTGAAACTGCCCCAAACCTCTAAAACCGTAACCCTCACTACTTCATTCACTTCGTCCATCCTTGTTCCTTCGACCTCCAGGAGCCTCCAGGAGCAAGTCAGGAAGCTGATGAGTCAGCGGGGTGAAGATGCCAACTCACCCAGGACCTTGGGAGGAATCGGCCTGCAGAGGATGAGTCGACTTCTCATGGAAAGGTGGGTTAACCAACCATTTGGCCTTCTGCGATCTGTGCATTGGCAGCGCATTCACCTCGGTGTCCTGAACTGTCAGTGCCAATGAAAATTTTGCTCAGTCAGGATCCCGCTTGTGGTCTGTATGAACATTTTTAAATAAAAGAGCTTTGGTCTATCTGAGGGGTCTCAGAATGTGCCATTTCCAAAATGCACTTTATAACGTGTTGCAAGCATCATGGTTTGTAGTGTAGCCTCTGATCATATTGTTTATGGGGAAGGGGCACCATTCCTGCGAGAAATGACTGACGAATTTGGAGACTTTTAACGCAAGGCTCAATGTTACATAGTTGATACAACCCTGATATGGTACATTCAAGTTGTTTGATGTGTCTTGTTCATTCCTTAGGAGTCCAAACACAGCAAACAAAGAGAATATCCAAAGTCCGTCTTATCACCACTCTTTCTCCAAGAGGCATCCCCAGCCTGCCCAGAAGTCGGCAATCTCCCTCTCCGAGTCACAAAATCCCCCTGTGCACTTACAAAACTCACTCAAGAAGAGTCCCAAGCAGCGTGTTACGTTCCTGGAGACTCAAGATCAGAGAGACGAAGACATCAGCAAGTGGGCCAGGACTGACACACTGTGGAAAGACCAGCAAGAGCTTCCTGGTGATTTGATACGCTTTGGCGCAAATACAGATGCAGATGATCTCCAGGGGAACTCGCTTGATGCCCTTGAAGGGAAGCCAGATGGTTGGATGATGGGAATCAAACCTTCTCTAGAACACGACGCCCTTGGGGCACATGCGGCAGATTCCCCAGACATGCTTCGCGCTTCCCCCAGACAAGAAGCAGTGATGCCAAGTTTTAGCAGGGACACACCTGATCGGGATCACATGTACACTGCGGGCAATGCGTTCAGTCAGAGCACAGCCTTTGAAAGACAAACTCTCCCGTTCCAGTCCAATCCAAGAACTGCTGAGCCGGCTTTCAGCCAAGAACAGCGACTAGAGATTGACCGGAATTCCGTCATGCCAACATCTCACAAAGGAATAGACTCCTACACAGCAACATGGAAAGCACCCACTAAGCCTACACTCAACTCTGCTACCTCTGACTCCACCGTGTCTTCTGTAACCACCGAGTTTGAGGCTCAGTTTCAGAGTGGACTCAGGGATCTGGATGCGGAGATCGGTAAACTACAAGCTAGTCTGAAATACCCCACTATCAAGTCATTATGAATGGACGTTAGAATGTACCGTAGGCAAGTCATGATAAATTAGGTCTTCATCCCCACAGAATGTAATTCTCAATTTCTTTAGCCCCCTTCTTGCCATTTGACAAACTCAGCGCACAAGAACATTTTACATTCCCAAGGCTTCCTGAGGTAATTTTTATTTGCTACAATCCAGTACATGTATATCCAAGTGATTTCACAGAAGTACTGCGGTGCACAGTGTACATGTACTCAACTTGTTGATCCCACAACATAAATGACTTAAAATGAAATTCTGTGAGTACATTAAATGCAAAATTCTGTACTCCGAGGACTTGACCAAATCGTGACATCATCATATTGAAAACAAAAAGGCTTGTAGCAGCTCTGGTCCTGAGCGCTGAGTTACACATGCCAATACGGCCGTTTCACAATAGTGCGCCACCAAGAGTTTGCAACGCGTTGGCCAATCACAATGCGCAAAATTTGTCGACCCAGTGCGCGTTTGGAAAGGGTTGACAAATTTCATGCGTTATGATTGGCCAACGCCTTGCAAACTCTTGGTGGTGCACTATTGTGAATCGCCCGTATTGTTCACAACAAGTGTTTATGATAAAACTCGTCAAAGACAAGTAATCAGCCAGGGGATCAATTAGTGTATCCAATAACACAAATTACGTTGTGGAAATATCTCTGCTGTAGATAGATATTTCAGAAGTTCACTTATTATGCAGGGTGCATAAGAATTGTGTAATTCATAAAGATGATTAAGGACCCTTTTGCCATTGTTTTCATATGTGACTGAGCAAGGTCGATGTTTAAACAAAGCTGAAATTTTTCAGTCTTCTTCAAGTTGGCCTGATTTAGTGGTAGGAAGAGCTATTCAATTGTGTGCTGTATCTGTGAACTATGCATTGTAAAGAGACAGTATACAAGCATATGTATGCTGAAGGTGTCTGTACAAATACAGGTATTGTCAAAAGATTATTCCATATTAAATAATTCTTTGCAAAAACCCAAATTTGCATTATGAATGAGAAATTAGAATTAAATACCCTATGCTAAAATATGTAAAACAGGTTGCATTCTTTTACCACATCATATTAGGTTGATACCCGACCTATATACATATATGTACATATTTAACATTAGGCACCAAGTTTCAAATGATTGACTACTTATTTTAGAATACATTATTTATTCACCCGATAATATTTGGTGATAGCTTATATCTTTACTGAACCCAAATTGTGTTTATATTACCTTTTTTTGCCACACCCTTTAAAGTAACATACAAACAATCACATGTATGTATTTGTCTATTTTTATACATACTTTTTTGGATGTCCTTTCAGTTTTACTTTAAAGCAAGAGAAGTGCTCATTTCAAAGTCATTTCCTTCCATTTTAACTTCTATAAACATTGTACATGTAATTTTTTTTTTTCAAGATAAATTCTTTTTCAAATCAACTTGTCCCATAGACACGTACATTATACTGATAGGACTGTAGTGTTGGAAAGCGGCCCAGCTGCTCTGTGCTAATGCCAAACCAGGAAGTGATCCCCTAAATGATGTTTTAATCCATGTATTTTTATGAAGCAGCGGCTGATACATTTGAAACAAGGCATGTTTTTTCAGTGGTAGATGCCCTGTACTGTAATGCCCGGGACAAATCTGCCTGCACTTCTGTTGCATTGCAATGCTGCAAGAACCAGATATGTACTTTGTCAAACACTGTCTCAGTGTGTGTGTGTGTTCAGCACTGACACTGTAAAGACTTATTCATGCGGACTTAATTTACTGCCTGTCTGGTGTAAATTAACAGGTTGCAGCATATGCAGCAAGGTATGAGACGGAGAGAACCCCCCCCCCGGCTTTGTGTTGGTCATTGTCTGGCAGGAATCTGGGGAATTCCTTTCAGACATCTTGGGGGGTGTGTTAAATAACAATAGTCTGGAATGTGTATAGGGATTGTACATGTTGGGGGGGTACCCCTCGGTCTCATTTCTTGCTGGGTGTAGGTTGCAGCACAACTGGTGTAGTCTTACAGTCTTGTAGTGACAGTACCCAACAGCAACACTGATGTATTATAGGGTGTATTTGTAATCTTGGACACAGCATGAATGCCTTATCAATATCACTTGCTGTGCATGCTTTTTGGCTAAAGCCAATGTTGCCTTGTTTGTTTTCTTAATTGTATCAATATATGCAGCTGCATAAAGTTACTAGCAAAGACAATCGTCTTGTGCTGAAAATGAAATATGCAAGAGCTTAAAAAGTAGTGAGTCATACATGTACATGTATGTTATTTTTGAAGGACACAAATATGGCTGTTCTGGTTGACTCGCTTTGGGGAGGGTTTTTGTTTGTTCTTTTGTTGTTGATGATGATTGACTTCTGACAATGCATCATTGTTTTCAGAATTATTAGTGATTGGCTCAATACACAGCAGGTGTAGGTTTGTGCACACACCTTGTTGTGTTGGTTAGATAAATCTATGGCAGTTTTGCTGTGTTTTCCATGCAGGCAGCTAGAGTGTTTTCCCTTACTTGAAGTGAGCTGCAGTTTCATTGTTTAAGTTTTTGTTTTGTTTTCTGTCACTTATTTTCAGTATGCCGTTGAGGGTAATGGAATGCATGCTTGGGTCAACATGGAGAGTGTGCATATTATGACTGGTTTAAAAAAAAATCATAGTTGCTTATATAATGCACTTGCCACATGATAATTGCTGAACATCTAGGACACCTGCCGCCAGCAACACTAGCTCGGTTTGTTTAGTTCTATCTTGTTACAGATAAACTATCAGCCAAGGTTACGTGTATTGAAATATTATACCTTTGGTTTGTGCATGGTTTGTGCAGGTTGACCATTAACAACAGTGCGATAATTGTGTTTCAAGAGCACTTGATAGAATGTTTGGTAAATCTGTCATTTCCACACTCCATATGCAAAACGTATTTTATGCCCGGTCCACCTTGAACACGATGACCCATCTCCGTCTCCAGCTCTCCTTCTACCTCCTTCTACACAGTGGGCCCCTCCATTTACTGTCTTCCCGCTCCTTACAAACGGTGGCCCCCTCCGTCTGTCGTTTACCCAGCTTTCCTTCTACACGTGCCCCCCACCTCCCTCTTCTGTTTTCCCAGCTCTCCTTTTACACGATGTCCTACCTCTGTCTACTGTCGGCCCACAACTCCGTCTACACGGTGGCCCCCTTTGTCTTCCTAGCTGTCCTACTCGATGGCTCACTCCTTCGTCAACACAGTGGCCCGGCCCCCCTCCGTCTACTGTCGGCCCGCTACTCCTACAAGGTGGTCCCACTGCCGGCGCGGCCTCCTCCTACCCGGTCCGGCGTCAAACCACCGGCTACCGTCTCCCACTACACATGGTGGCCACCTCCCTCTTCTGGCGGCCCACTCCTCCTATCCTATCTAGTGGCAAACCACCTCCGTGTACTCTCTCCCAGCTCTCCTTCTACATGGTAGCCCCCTCTGCTTACTGGTGGCTCGCTCGTCCTTTGTGAGTGGGATGAGTTTTGGGACTTTTGCACACCTTTGGGAGGAAGGGAAATGCAGTACTGCCCATGCCGGCCCAAATCACCTCTTGCTCTTTTTTTTTTCAATAATGATGTTGCTCTTTTTTTTCCAAAAATGAAACTACATGTAAAATGTTGCTCCTTTTTCGGGGAGGGGGGTATGGCCCGTTGGCAGCTGGATCTACCAGTAAATAAAAGAAATTTCTGTTCAGTTGTTTGACTGACCAAGCAGCAAGATCCGAGCACTGGCGTCGCGAGGGTAGGAGACAATTTCCCTTTCAGGTACAAGGACATCGAAAAAGAAAAATCAGTCCTCTGTGTTTTTAAATGCCGCAGGTTCCTTTAATAATCCCCTTTGATTGATTTTCCACAAGTTCCAGAAATTGGTTGCACATTTAATCATATTCTGCGAACCAGAAGCATCCGCCTCTGAGTATCCAGCTTTCTGGATTGGCTCAGATATGGCACGCCGTACGCTTCGTCATCTACAATATAAAGGAAATTCCTTTCACATGTGACGTCACCTGAGCCCCCCCCAACTCCCCAACAAAAGCCTAACCTTCGTCAGTGAACGAAAATAAAAATGTGATTTTCATGTTGTTTAAACACAATATTAACAGTAAATTTTATACCTACCGACAGCCGGATTTTTAAGTTATTGACCCCCCCTTAATTCAGATGACTACCGAACTGTTTTCACTGCCACGCCCCTGTCATGTGCAGTCTCAGTACGTTCATGCACATAACCGCGGAAGTTCGTATTTCTACGTGTACCCCCTGTATCTCATTACACGTCACGTGCATGTTGCTCATTGGGCATTTCACAATTACATACACTTGTAGGCCTACGCCTGTAAAATGTAATCCTCATTCTCGCATATAAGCAGTCGATCTGTAAAATTCTTTTCTACTTGATAGAAAAAATATTAAACAGTCTAGGTAATATTTTGTTAATTTTTTGGTGGACCTTTAAAAAGGACTTATTGCAGAGAAATAAACGTCTAGCCGTCAGTGCCCTATTCGTCACCGCTCACGCTTGGACAGTCCATACACCTGTCATTGCACAAACGACGCTAACGTGCTGATCATTGCATCGCTACACGTTAACGAAGTGTGCGGTTCTAGTGTACAGCTGCAGTTGTAGTACTTTTGAAAAAACCTGAGGTTATCGTAGGAGACTGTCGAGATGGCTGTCGAAGGGGCATCGAAACTCATCAAATACTTGATGTTCTTCTTTAACTTCATTTTCTTTGTAAGTATCTACACACAAACGCCGACAGTTGGGTGTTGGTTTTTCACATGGGGTTCGTCGCACCATGGTCGCTCGGTCAGTCCGCTACGTACATGTACCACGGAATGGCATACCGTCGACGAACCCCATGTAGGCCCGTCCTGGGGTAGGTTTGCTTTAACATCAACTTCTGTCATGTGTCAGTTAACGGCGTAATATGCACCGCAATGCAGGCTGGGTCTGCAATGCCCATGTTGTGCATCATGTACAAGTACATCGCCATCTTTCCCCTTTCGTCATATCATGGAACATGTTATTAGGGGAACATAACATCAGGGGAGAGACTTTTCCTACCTCCATTATAAAATCTAAGAAATGTGGCCAGGCACCGTTACGCACTGATGATCTCCACCGTAGCGTGCTGTGTTCCATGGTCTGGCTGTTACACCTTTTTTAATCTGTCTAAATAACGTGACTACCCGGCAACAGGCTACACGACAGAGTTGGGCCATGCCCAACTTTGTTGACACAGTTGGCCATGTTGCCCAACTTTGGTTATCTAGTTCTAGAATTGAATATAAAATTTAAAAGATTGCAATCGAATAAAATTGCAAGAACTGGGCTGTCACCAGTTTTAAAGGTAGTGTATGCCATTGGCAAACTCCCCCAAATCAGACTACCGTATAATCCTGAAATATCTTTCTTGAAAGTACATAACAGCCTCAATCCGTCTGTAAAATTTTTCTGCCTAGAATGCTGTCGTTTTCAAGAAAACAGAAATTTTGTTCTCATTTTTTATGATTGTCAGCTGACCATCGTATAACTTGCACTATAAGAGCTCATTTCACTTCGCACATCATATTTTGTAACAGGTGCCAATTTTCTTGTGCGAAGTGTTTGCAGATGTTGTGGGAGTCTCCATTAATGAACGGTTAAGCCCTAAAGCAACCAAAAATATACCGACAGAAATTCACCAAAAGCAATGTAAAATGAAATTATAGGAAGCTGAGTGTAAAGTGGGAAATGAATTGGATCAGTGTGAAGTTAAATTTTATTTAAGGAAAGGATTTTGAATTCAAAATCACCCCTAGAGCATTATGGTATGATCCAAATATACTGGCTGTTCCATGCAGAATGGTGAAAGGATTTTCGTCAACAAAAAGTATGATTTCCACACGTTAAACCTCCCGTTTTTCAAGACATAATTTCTTCTGTGCTTATAAATATTAGTGAATCAACTAATAAGAATGGAGTTTTTAGACTTTCATCTACTTGTAAACTGATGTGAAAGTGCAGTCATTAATTAAGCATGATCGCGCGCGCACATGTATTATCATATAGGCCTACTCATTCACAGACACAAGTCGACCGTATTCCAGGATGAATTTTTTCATGAATCCACAATGTTACATTGTCGAGGCACATTACTGTCAAGGTAAATTCACTGATTACTCCTAGCCATTGAAACAGCTCCTATCATGCCTGTTTCCCACCCTGACCCCGTGGATATCGTTTACCTACTATGAACGACCTAGATTTCACGCCAGATAAATTACAAGACCATCGATTTAAGTGTTGAAAATGCCGTGCAGTTTTTCTCAATTTTTCACAAAGCAGTTGACTGAAACATGAAACAAGTCCGTGGAATGTAAGTTGCAGTGAATATTACACACCGTAATCAGCCAATCTTGTGAAATTAACGACAAAAAAGGGTGTTCACTATCTTTAAAGGAAATTTAGGCCTACAGGTTTGTATGGTTTGATGGACAAAACTGGGAAAGAATTCCACGTACGGATGCCACTTGACACTCTGTGCACAAATCCTGTGGGAGAGACTGGTCAGAAAACATTCTTTTTTTGTTAGTGAATGCCTCAATATTTTCACTGTTAAATTTGACTTCAGACATTTAATAATAGACCCCTTGCGTTAAGGCGGAGTCAGAGGCTATTCGTAATGTTCTTTATTATTGTAATTACAATGAGAATGCACAAAAGGTTTACTCAAGCCTATCCTAGAGGAAGAAAGAAATGCCCTCTAACTAGATGTCATACGCAAGAGGGTCTATTGCTTTCAAGTAGCTTTTAGGTCATTGTTGCGCCCACTAAATCATGTGACCTATAGTGGGATTCTACCTCATAACAACATGTGTTTGGAGTGCTCTTTACAAACAATACAGCCAAGTTACTGTAAAGTACCCAGCACATCAATAGTCTGAGTATTTTGCCTTTGGACAGACATTTGCCTTAAGTTTACCAGGGTATTTTAAAAAGGGAAGTAAGGTTGAAGATTTCACACAGGATCAACTGATAGTTGATCATGCTGATGGACGGATTGTGCCCAAGAATTGCCAGTCCTTGCTTTTAGTTAAGACAGTTACCACAAGAGAGAAATCTTCATTTTGTTCCATCCTCATGTATAAGCATGTACATGTATACTGCCATTGTGAATGAGGCAGTTTCAAATTGAATCCTTTATTAATCTGTAGAAAATAATTTCATCATCTGTTCACAAATGGGGCCATTAGAGGTCTTTCTTTTCAAGAAAATAAATATTGAAGTTGAACGAAATCACAGTTCCATGAAATCGTGAATATGAACAAGCCAGTGTTTTACATGTACATGTATTTCAACATGTGTCAAATAAATGAAGTGCGTCAGAGATCATAAGAACAAAACATCTAAGCTTGAACATGTTCAGTGCATGTGAGTCTATAATAGTAATGCCTAAGTGATATACCTCACAGGTACATTGCTGTTTCCAAGTGACCTCCATTAATACCATCATGCCAGTGTGTTACACCCAAAACCACATGTTCAATGACATGAGGTGACAGAGTGTGCGATTCAGAACTGTTAGGGTTCAGTCCTGTGTCATAAATGTATGAATATAATATAAAATCTTTTTGAATGTCTAAGGCTAAAACTGTGATGCCCATATGTAGAAGCGTGGTTGGCGTAGGCTCCCTGCCATTTTTTTTTTAAATTATGCCCCACCGACGAAGTCAAAGGGACATACTGTTTCTGCCTTGTCCTTCTGTGGGTGGCTGTGTGCAGGCATGGCATACATAGTGTGGACCTCTGCACAAAAGAAGTCCACATAATGTAGGGTGCGATGGCGTAGTGTGGACTCGCACATGTCCACGCAATGTTTCCCCCTCTGTGAAAAACAGTTTCAGAGGCATTTTTGGGTCAAGGTTATCTGTGGCAAAATTGAAGAGGAAGAGTCTAGGAGCTCATCATCAAAAATCCAGCTCGGAGGAGTTATCCTAGTTGGAGAAAAAGGAGCAATTTCCTCAAGTTTCCTTAACCACAGGAGAACAAAGTAATGTCCACACTTTGTATGTAAAATCCATGAGTGCGTGTGTGTGTGCACTTCCACAAATCTTGTCAGCGCGTTAACTTGAGAATTCTTTATCCTATCGACTTCAAATTTGGTGTGTGGATTGTTCTCTATGGTCTTAAGAACCCTATTGAATTTGGTTGCACAGCAATGAGGTCAAAGGTCAATTTGGCTAAAACAATAGAACACTCGTCAGCGCAATAACTTAAGGAACTGCCACTTTGTTTTTTTATTATATTCTCATTCCTGAATTTTCAAATGTACTTAATCCCAATCTTTTACTAATTAACAACAGTGAAAGGAGTTCAAAATTGTTTCATGTTTTCCTGTTTTAGTATAGTACTTTGCTCAAAAGCGGGGCATTTGTGTTTGTAAACTCACCTATCTTGTTTCAGCTGTTTCTCATCAGAAAATGCACTCGCATTAAACCAGCATTTGCATACAGCTCATTTTTTTTCTACATATATATTCACTTGGATTAAAAACTTGAATCCAGCATACTTTTTTGTGCAGATGTAATACATATTTGAGGGCAGTTGTGGATTTTTATGGACGAGTTTACTGTTTAGTCGGAAGCTGTACAGTTTAGACAACTCACCCTACTGTTTTTAGAAAGTCCATTCATTAAAAAACAAAGCCATTAATATTTGGCTGTATAATACAGTAACATGGTTTTCCTATTACCCATTCACAGTGAATCCACAGTGCAAAGATTTATGTCAAGCATTCTCATATACATGTAGATTAATTGTCCAGGATTAGATTTCTGCACAGGGCCTGTTTGCGCGTACGTGGTATATGAGTTACATGCTTCTTTGATTAATACGGTATTTTGATTTGCCAAAGTGTACATGTATGTATGCATGCCTTAAAGCTGAAGACCTGTGTATGAGTGTGATAGCTGGTAGGTAATGGCGTCTCCTCGGGTCAGCCCATATACATGTAGGCCTACAATTTCCGTACATCTCATCAAGGTTATATTATCAGAACAGTGAAAACGTAGGCAAGCACTAAAAACTGAATTCTGCATTTGCTGGTAGGGTTGACTGTGCTTTGCATTTGAATTTACATGTACATGTAGTTTTAATGTTAAACAGGTAAAATGAATTTAAACACCAAATTGACAAAATGTCACATGATATGTATGCATTGTGCCACACCATATGCTCACATTTGTACAAATTGTATGTGAACAAATTGAGTACATTGTATTTTGCAGTGCCCGTTTACTACTTGGCCAATATGGTACTGTACATATTCAGCACTCTACAAAGTATACTTGGAGGTGACAGGTTTTTTTTACATGTTTATTTGTATATGGTGCTGCTTTATCGTGTTACATGCAAATGTATAGTTTGTATCCTCTGAACTGACTTACTGCACAGATACGTCTGCTCATTGAAGTCTGTCTCATCGTCCAAAGTGACATGAGACATTTCGGACAGAAGTAATGGAGTTGTTTCTTACAAAATAATTTAAAATTTAAGAATAGAATCTACACTCGGGAGATGGATCTTAAAGAAACTTGTCACTTTTGAGATTGTGTTCATATGCTTGTATATGTACCATGTAATCCAGTTGTGAGGATTTTTTCCTGTCAGTTATGTGTTAGCAGCATTGTTCAGCATTTCCTATGGGCTTCTGGGAAACTAGTTATGTTTGACTTTGTTCTAGTTGGTCAGCTCTTCGTTTTCAGGAACTAAACTGATACTGTGCAGTTTGGACTCCATGATTTCAGAATCACATGATGAGGAAGGATGTATGCAAGTCAGAGTCATGTGCGCACACACTCACAGACACACAATACTGATTTATGGCCAAAGGGCAAAGGCAGAAAATGAATTACGCAAGCAGTTTTAGAGACAGCATGTACATGTACATGCATGACTGGTGACTGGTAATCAGACCTGTTTGCATACGTGTACTGTACATGCACATGTGCTGGCAGCAGATAAAAGCCATTTCACACTCCTCTTTATGTGATTTTCTACAGAAAGGATCATGAGGGCCTTGTACAAACCCGTAGTCCAATTCCAGACCTATTCTTCCACATTCTGTGTTTGCTTTTTCGTTCCAGGTGTGTTTGTCTGCCCATCTGTTTTCCCAAACTATTTTGAGAAGGACCGTATCAACTTTGAAATAGATACATACAAGCACATGTATGTATGTACATGTATGTGGATTGGTCTTGGAGTTCAGCAGAAGCTGATTGATTCTGGGCCCCATAGGTCAAAGGTTAATTTAATTAATGGTTTAACAGTAGAAATGGATTTCCACCCTAACTTTAGAAGAACTGGACATATCAACTTCAAAGTTGTGAGTTGGTCTTGGTGTCCTCTGGAAGCCATTTGGTATTTAGACTTTATAAGTTAAAGGTCAGAGTTACTGTGGTTACAACATAGAAATGGTTAATTCCAATAGTTTTTTGGAATTTCAAATTGAAGTTAGCGGTTCTGGCATGGGTTTGGTGGGACATTTCTATTTTTAAGCATACCACTTTTTGTGATTTTACCTACATCCGTTACACATATTTAGGTCGGTACTTTTTATTGTACGTGTTTTGTGTGTCGTTAACAGTACCAGTATGCATGTTGGATGCGTTGGACACAGTCGTCGGAATGAATTCTATTCTTCATGCTTCATTTGCTCTCTGAAATTGTCATTTCACGACATCCCATCTTCCTTAGGCATGACGTGTGGAGCCTGATTTATGTCAAAATTAACTTACCGGTAAATTAAATAATGCTGTTTCATTCTGTCCACTTTTCGTTTAAGTTGGAGAAGTCAGAGAAGTTTCAATGTTCGAACAAGTTCTGAATTTTATTTCATTCAAGGATGAAGTCTTTGATTCCAAAATGTTCTTGTGTCGCATTTGTTTGGACAAGTTTTTCTGGGAGTTACACAGACTTACATGTACATGCAGTAAAAAAAATTCAATTTTGCATTACGTCATTGTGCACAGGAAATGGTAAAAGCTTGAATTACATGTACACACACTGCAGAGTACATGTACATGGCACACACTGCAGAGTACAGTACATGTACATGGCACACACTGCCGAGTACATGTACATGTACGTGGCTCACACTGCAGAGTACATGTACATGTAGGTACCATGGGTTGAAATTGTCTTAAATTTTGATTCCAGCTGGTTAAAGTTTTGTCATGATAAGGCAGCATTTCCTGTGTGTATTTGGGATTTGCTTACAGTTTTTGTTTGAACAGTAGATACATGAGCATTACAGCACAGTGCTGGACAAATCTCCCCCAAAATGGTTGCCTCCCCCCAACTGCTTTTCATGAAAAGTGGTTTCCCATTGTTTCAGCTTGGTAGCCCAGATTAAACGTTGCTTATGAGCATGGTTTTGCAGTATACAATGAAAAGTGTCCAACCACAAAATACCCTAAAACTGCACTCAAACAGAAAAGATATGACATCATGTCAGGCTAGCACGTATGGTAAACGGCACTGAAAAATGGGTGAGTTCATTTCTTGTACTCATTTTGCATGTGCGGGTGGATATGTCCGTATCAAGAAAGGGAGGCATTCTTCGAGTGGTTTCTCACTTTTTCAGAACACACTAATGAAACTTAAATAAAGACAAAAACTTTTAAATATTTACAAGATTCTGATAAAATTGTGATGTGTACAAGTATCTGAAAATAAGCAACAGAGATGGATGGGCAAATGGAAAAAAAAATTTGAGAAAAAAAAATAGTCTGCAAAAAACTCATACTCATAAAGCTGAACACTCAGCTGTTGCATGTGTTCACACAAATCACAGACTAGAATTGAAGTATCAGGAACGTAGTGAGAATGTAGTGTCCGCTGAATACGTAGACCGCCAGTGACAGGCCTTTTTTCCAGTGTCCCGTGCTATGTAGAAATAGAATCATTGTACAAATTCTTCATACGTGCAAGTTTGTCTGGCTCCCAGACCCGAAGAATCCTTGACGAATCTGCAGGCTGGGAGAGGAATTGGACTAGGTACATGTACACATACGGCACAGTTTTTACACATGACATGCACAATGGCTTATTGGAAACTCAGGCAAAACCTTAAATTTGAATAAAATCTGGTACACTGAGTTATCTGACTGCACATAAACATAACAATTTGAATTCCCCAGACTAAAGACACTGTTGCTATACCTCGTGATTCGGGGCAAGCTTTTGCTAAGCGACCACCATCTCTGGAATGGACTGGTTCCCTTGTGCCCTTCTTTTCCATTGAGAACAGTGTATTGTTGCAAGGCATCTCTTACATGTATATAACTAAGGAAAAGCTTGCCCCGAATCACGAGGCGTAGCAACTGTGGCTTTAGTATAGAGAATTCCAGTTGTTATGTTCACGTGAATTTAAAGAACTCAGTGTACCAGATTTTATTCAAATTTAACTCGGAGAAGGCTTATTGGTGGATTTTGCATCTGGCCTTCTTTTGGCATGTTTGGTGAAGGAAGTAATTGGTGTGTTCTAGTGCTGACTGAAAATGAAAGAAGCAACGGAGGTACTCTGTACATGTATGATAGCTCCATGGTATGATTCATAAAAAACAAATGACATCATCGGTACCGTATATGCAGTGCTGTTTTAAACAAGTGTACCGGTATTTAAAACATGCTGTCTGTCTTTTTATAGTGCCACTGCCACAGTGGCAGTGCCAAGTGAACAAGGGGATTAAGACCAGAAATTTAGAAGGAATTGCCTTGAATTAGAAACAATACATGTATTGTGGTTATTTTTTAGCAGGTTTTTAGACCTTGAATGTGAAAGATAAGTGATTTGCATGCATGTCTGAGCTTTGAGTGATGAGTTCCTAACAAGTGTTGGGACTAAAGATCTGAATTTCCCAGTAACTCCCCAAAATCCACCTGCCAAATTCAAATTTTGAAACCGAATATCCGAAACTGGAAAGAAAAAATCTGGACTTGTGTCTTTAGCAAAAGAGTTTTAAAAATTTGTTAAAATTACTTCAAAAAATGATTTTCTCCCATGTTTTTATTTGTAGTTTTGTGTTCAAATATTGGGGACTCAAATTGGTTTGAGCTAAATACTTGACTCGACTTTTTGCCTAATGACTCAACTCACAAAAGTTAGTGACTCCTTGCAACTCTGACAAGAACCTCCTTTTGGAAATTTTATCTTTGCCTTGCAGATCTGTGGCATTGTGATCATCGTTGGTGGTGCCTTGGTCTTCACCAAGTACAATGACTATGTTGACTTCACTGGCAGCATGGGCAATGCCATCCCCATTGTGCTCCTGGTGATTGGCATCTTCATCCTCTTCACCGGTTTCCTGGGCTGCTGTGGTGCTCTGAGAGAAAACTACTGCATGGTCTGCACCGTAAGTAGTCAACTCTAACCCTGGTGCTGTATACATCCTGCAGACCTGTTTGGCATTCACCTCAAAAAAGCACAGCATTAAGCTTTATTGCATAAATTGTTGCTACAACAGCAAGCAATCTACACCAGGGAAGAAATGGGGAGCTAATCCTCTGATATGCAAATGGCAACCTCCAAATGACTCAGTTGCTGATAAGGTACCGTATTGCCTGGTCACTGGGCTACCCATACAAGTTTGTCCTCCAGCCAAATGGAAGGTAAATATTAATGGCTGAGACATGTAAGTGTCCTCATGAGGAAGTTGTCATGAAACTGAGGAAGTATACATTCATTCACTTATCATTTCAGGCACCAAACAATTGAGGCACAGAGCTGAAAACAGTGCCCATTTGTCGGGGCTGTGCTAAGAAATGGTCAATTTGAAGTGAGCATGCTCTCCAGCATATGGGGCACTGCTCCAGCAGCAATGCCCTGTTTGTTTGTAGTCATTATGCAAAGTCATGAGAGATAGGATGGCTACATTCTGGCTTGATCACAAGGCAAGGTGCATGACATGGGCATGTGACTGCTGGGACAGTGCTGGTGATTGTGGTTAAGAGTTGTGTCTGACAGGGAAACTGTTACAATGAGCTGTGTACATGTACTCAGCAGGGAGCTGGCGAGATTACTTAAGTTTCATGGCCCAGTGAGCAGGGTTATTAATGATGTAGCATTTCAAGGACCAGTTCTGCTGTCATTGCTTCAACATTTTTAATGTACATGTTACACAAATACTGACTACTTTGATTGGTATAGACTGATCCGGTGACAAGAATCAGGAGCCGTTACTGCAGTTTCCCCACACGCGTGTACAGATGAGATGCACGCATTAAATGCTTCCTCAGCCAATGGGAGCGCACTGCTAACCAAAACATGCATGCATCAAGTTTAGGAATGGGCTCCTGAATGACGGGGACACCGCAAGTAATGGCGTCAATGTAAAACTAGCCTCCAGAGGTGATCCATGGAGCATTCTGTTTTAGAAAATAATATGTTTCATGGATCACCGAGGGGACTTGTTTTACCATACCAAGAGACAAAGCATTAGATATTTGTTTTATAACACCTTACCCACAGGTTTACACTGAGCTTCAGAGATGATAACAAGTCAGTTTTTTCCAAGTCCAAGTCAAGTCAAAAGTCAAAAACTGATAGTTACGAGTCAAGTCATGAGTCACAAAAATAGCGACTTGAGTCCAAGTCAACCAACTGCAGTCTACAAGTCTGATGAGCTGAAGTACACACCTGGGCACTATTATGCAGTTTTGTTGCAATGAATATTGTCTTTTTGGAGTGGCAGGACAAAAATAGTAAAACTAGCAAGTGTCACATGACACACTTTCGGCCAATCAAGATACAGAATCTGTGGATGAGTTGTTATAAACAGTACCATTCACTAGCATAGTTTTTAGTGATACCTCAATATGTTATCATGCTGTAATGTGAGTAGCTTCAAATTGGACATGATAATCCAGCTGTAAACACACACTGATATTTGTACTTGCAGCGGCAGGTAAATCAGGCAGTGAATAAATACAAAAAAAACAAGGAAAGGGAAAAAAAGGTTAAGTTTTTGTTGTTTTCATCATCAGTTTGCCATTATCATTGTGATTCTGCTACTGGCTGAATTGGGTGGTGGTATCGCTGGCTACGTTCTCCGGAATGACATCAAGAAAGCCATCGATGATAACATGAACAAGCTTCTTGTCCAGTACCCCAATAACACTGCGACCCAGAAGCTCTTTGACAGCATGCAGCAAGATGTGAGTAGACCTCCTACAACTGTAGTTTCAGGCTTCACTGTTGAATAGAGTGTGTAAATGCCTTCAATCGTGGACCTATAACAATAGGGGACAATTGGGTCCATGGTTGCCGAAGAGTCCACGGTTGGAAAACGTGTACAAAACATAAAACATATGGGAGGTCTTCCGGAAAAGTTAAAGTATGAACCAAAGAGGAACAATAGGGAGTCCACGATTGAAAGTGTTTACACACTTGTGTGTGTGTGTCTTTAACTGGCTGAAGTGCAGATTGGTACATACCTGCTCAAAAAAGTCATCAAAATGGAGAAATCACTAGCAGTGCTGATACATCTGTGTTTGTGCTTGCTGTGACATGAGGATGTTAGGGCCCTGAGCCAAGCGTTAGCGTTGAGCTCAAAATGCATGGCACTAAAACTCAGCAATACAAGAACTGTCAAATGAATAATTGATAACGACCAAAAGAAGCATAATATTTCATCAAAATTTCAGTAAGTTATGTCTGAAAGAGCTGACTTGACTTGTCTTCCAATGTATGTCTTTTCCATTTTTCATTTATTTATTTCAAGGTTGAAGAGATCCAGCAAAGTGATATTTTCCGTATGTCCATAGTGAGGTGACTGGTTGACATGGCCATGTGCACATGCTTAACGTAGTACGTACATGTACATGTGAAACAACCAAGTCCAATAGAATGTGCAGTGTAGCAGCATTCTATATTCTTGTGCTGGTTTTTTTTGCAGGCAAGGTACACCAAAAAAAAAAAAAAACAGAAATGGATAAATTTGAATGCATTGCTGTTGTATCTTACAGTTGAAATGTTGTGGAGTGAATAATTACACCGACTGGTATAGTTATCTGGGCTCCGGCAACGTGACAGACTCTTGCTGCAAGAAGGAGGAACCAAAATGTGGTATTGAGCCCAAGAAGGAAACCATCTGGACAGATGTAATAATCCATTCTTTGTTTAACAATCGCACAGCTTCATTTCTGCTTCAGTCCCAAATCTCCTTTGTGGTGTTTGTAGGATTGCAGTCATGTGTATACTGAAAATTGTGGGTCGGTTATATGAAGGTTTAAAGGCTATATAATCTGTCCTGGGCTGCTACCATAAAGCATGTTGGACTGAAGTTGGATTTTTGGTTGTGAATAAAAGGGGGATGGTGGGAGATTTACCCAAAGGTCACTTTTTGGCTGCAGAATAATATTGGGGGATGATGTTAGGGGGGGTAGACGGCATGAGATTATTGACTGCTTCAAGAATTTGTACATAAGAAAAATGTGGGAGCCTGCACCACGTCGGCGCTAGCCGGTTTACCTTGTCAGTGGTCATTTTCATGAAAGTGTTGTAAACACTGAACACGATGCTTCAATGTTCTTGTCGTAGGGTTGCTTCAACGCACTCTATGATTTCCTGGAGGACAACATCGTCATCATTGCTGCAATTGCTATTGTTATTGCTGTGATTCAGGTAAGAACAGAGCACAGGTAGCTTTTTATATTCACATTGTGCACCCAGTTGTTCCTATTGAAAACAGTTTTGAGAAAGGATTGCTCTGTCTTGTTGCCATGTAATTAGACTACAATGAATTATCAATACAAGCCAAAATTTTCCAAGGGTTGTAGAAAAAAATGCATTTAATGTACCCATTAGAATGCTGTGAAAACAACAGAGAGATCTGTGCATGTGTAAGCACAAGCATGTCAAACCTTATGAACTATACTTAGGGCTGGAAATGTTTGCCTGCTAGTAGTGTCTTTCAGTTGACATAGGTGGGGTCCACACACCACCATGCTGTGACAGCTGCTGGTTTATGGGATTCCACCCTTCTAAGTGCCGTCTGTTTTTCAAATACAGATATCACTTGGTTTTGTCAACCCTAACCATGCTGAACCCAACAAGGTTATGCAGGATTTCAATGGTCCCTAGGGGGCTAGCCATGCTGAACCCAACAAGGTTATGCAGGATTTCAATGGTCCCTAGGGGGTTAGGGTTAAGTAAGCCTAACTGAACTGGTACCATGAGCCTGCTGTACATTAATGCAAAAGGTGGTTTTGTAGTGTATCTGAGTAACCAGTTTTACCTTGTGCTTCCCCCCTTCCCCCTTGGTTGACAGATCTTCGGTGTTGTGTGCTCTTGTTGTCTCATGCGGTCCATCAAGGGTGAATACGAGGTTGTGTAAAGCAGGCTTTGTGAGGACACTTTGGCCATCCTGCGCAGTCAACATCAAACCATCATAAGGTGTCCACGTTATTTTGTTACTAAACACAACCACAACCACTTGAGAAGACTGGTGGACTTTTGGTCCAAGGGTTTTTGTTTGGTTTTTGTAAGTTCTATTTTTTCCTTCCAAACATTTTCACGGGAGGCCATGCACAGTTGGCTCTCAATACAAAGAGAATGCTGTTAAATCAAAATGCTGCTTTGAAGAGCAAATTCAGAAAACCCCAATTGCATTAATTCTTGTGTTTTCTTTCTTTGTCCACTCCTTTAACAAAGTCTTAGCTCTAACAAAATAATTTATCTGGTCCATGTAACTGTGTTTTAACAAGGCTTGACTGTATATGCAAAACAAAATCTTGTAACAATGACAACTGGGCTATAAAATCAACAAGTGTGGCTGCTGAAATGCCAACAGTTTCAGGCAGAAGTTCGCAAAGTATAGCTTCGTTTTTGTAATTTCATACTGGGAAAATTACAGTACAGGCTGTCAGAATTTGAACTTCAGTAAGGGAATTGCTACTAAATGTTGTTACTTCAAAATGCCATTGACAATTGACAATTTCAGTCCAGGCAAATCATGTTGAAGGAAACTTTGGGGAGTGTTTTGTTCCATTGCCATATTCAACAAATTATGGATTCATCCGAGGAGATGGCTGATCAAAGTTGTAGCTTGGCTTCAGTGTTTCTAGAATACATTTCATTGAATGATTTTTTTTTACACTTACCAACCCCTGGCAAAAGGCTTTGTGTGTAGACTAATCCAGCAATGTTTCGCTGGACATTCCCAGAGGACCCCTTTAATGGCCAAAAGTAATGTGGTGGTGTTGTGCAGAAGGGAATATTATGGAACAAAAGTCACCGTAGTGCTTTTCACCATGGGAGGGGTACTGCAAAGAACCATTGATAGTATTACCATGGTCACCAGAGTTGTTTATTTGCTTACTAGCACTTGAAAGTATTGTGACAAGTGTAAAGATTTGATCTAAATTTGGGGGTAAATGCTCCATGCAGCTCTATAATGTATTGTCAATTTGGTTTCCTTAGACAGATACAAGTACAACTTATTTGCTTATCTACATTTATATGGTGTACGTGTTTTTTTGGTTTAACAAATTTGTTAATATTTTTTGGCACATGGTCTAATGAAGGATCCGCTTGCGTTCTGAAAGTGCTCATGTGTTAAAACTTTTTTAAGTCACTAATATATTTTGTTCATGAATTTCCACTTATTAAAACTCCTTTTGTACTACTTATTAAGGCTTCTTTACCTTTGCTTCAACTCATGCTTCTAGCTAGGATATTGCTTTAAGTTTTCTGAATGAAAATGATGTTTAACCTAAGTGCAACCACTTTCTGTCATTTTTTTGGGGGGTGATATCCGTCTGTTTGTTGGTTTGTAGTGCACATGTAATTGTTTCTTACGGCTTATGTTTGAGGCTTGCATTCTTTATAAACTGGTCAGCATTCAGTACTCTTATCTTTAGCTATGTGAAATCTGCACTTTGGTGTGGATGTATTATACCAGC